AAAAAAAAAAAAAAAAAAAAAAAAAAGGGAGGATTCTCCTTGGGGCTGCTTTGCTATCCATTCATCCTGACCTCACTTGCATTTATAGATTTGGTTGTCAATTCTGAAGTTTGATCTTGACCTCACCTATAGATTCAGTCACTAATTCTGTGTGGATCTTCCAACTTGGACCAACCCAACAGTTTCAACTGTGGGAGCTGACTTCCAGTGCCTATGGGACAGCCTCACCACATTTCTGGTGATTGTTATTTGCTCGGTGGCGTCCCAGACACTGCCCATGGTCAGTTAGGCCTTTTATTTTGCAACCCCACTTCTGAAAATTCTCACCTTCTTCTCTCTTCGCTGTTAGGCTGGGCCTTAGCACCTTTCACCTGGACAATGCTGACAGCCTCCAGCCCCTATGCTCTGCCCCGCCTTCTAAGTAACCTTTCTGCTGTGTCACTGTGTGCCCAAAAGCATGTGTTGTTTCCAACTGCAGACAGAAGAACACTCAAATCTTTTGCAATCATTAAAGGCCGGCTGGCTACGGAGTGCATCTTCTTTCCTAGCTTTAACTTTTACTTCTCTATAGAGGGATGAGTTGTTAAGAGTTTGTGTTGGACCCAATCTCAAAATAAAATAAACAAAAACGTTAGCGTTCTGAAGTTGAAGAGATGGCTCAGCTGAGAAGAGTGTGCACTGCTTTTCCAGAGTTTGGTCCCCAGCACTAACACTGGGCAGCTCACAGTAGCCTTAAGTCCCACTCCAGGGAATTTTACACCTTCTTCTGGCCTCTGTGGGCATTCCCGGATACATACACAGACACATAAACATAAAATAAAAACCTTTAAGCCTGACATGGTGGCACACCTCTTTCTTTAATTTCAGCACTCCGGAGGTAGAGGCAGGTGGATCTTTGTAAGTTTAAGTCTAGTCTGATCTACATAGTGAGTTCCAGAACAGCCAGGGCTGTCTCAGAAAAAGTTTGTGCTTTGGAGTAGGGAAGAATTGGGCTAGAATTCCATCTCTACCATTTTCTTTCTTTTATTTATTTTAAGACAGGGTTTCTCTGTGTAGCCCTGGCTGTCCTGGAACTCACTTTGTAAACCAGGCTAGCCTCAAACTCACAGAAGTGCTGGGACTAAAGGTGTGTGTCACGTGTGTCGTGTGCTCCCAGCACGTTGTAGGCTTGTGAACTTGGGCAAGTTTCTCAGCCTCTTTTAGGCTGTTTCATAATCTATTGAGATTTGTAATAAAAACCCCAACTTTATTTATGGAATTGTTGCTAATTTGTAAGGCCACATGTAATATAAAAAGGATCAGGACAAAATTACTATGACAAACCTATGCCTGCCATATTCTCTAGTAAAATCCCTGATCACCCAGAATAGAGTCCTCTCTTCTAGTACCTTCCTTCCTGCTCACCTGTCCAGTCTGCTGAGCTCCTAGAATAACTTCCAAATAGGCTGGATACACATTAATTACACCCGTGCTTCCTCTACTTCTGCTCCTCCCACCACCATAAGTTGTAGGGAAGTTGCTACCCATCTTTCAACAGAAAAACTCAGTAACAGGAGGGTCACTTTTCCTCCAATATGTTGGGACCCACTACAGGGCAAGCAAGGGGATTCCCATCCGAGTTCATCACCTTTCCCCCGGAAGGAAAGCCCACAGCAAGAGAATATCGTGCCTTCCCCTCTTCAGTTCTAGACACACCTTAAGGATCTCATCTCCAACAATGATGATGCCCGCCGTCACGCTGCGTCCAGGAGGAAGTTCAGAGGCCCTAGATGCCATGGTCTTGCCCTCGCTGCTCTTTTGTAAGGCTCTCCTGTAGCCACTCAGAACCCCAAATAGGGGACGTAAGCACTGAGGGGCCGCCAGGTCTACAGGATACTGGGGGCCATAGCCTGAGAACAGAGTCGGGAGTCAAGGGAACCTGGAAGGGCCAGAAAAGACAATGGAGAGGGCAGGAGTGTACCTTCCTTCTTAGAGGAAGGTTCAGTCTTCTCTAGTCACAACCTTTAGAAACGTTTTCTTTAGTCGGGCCTCTTTAACGTATTCTCAAGCCCTAGGATCCTAAAAGCGTCTCGATTCCTGTTCCCTTAAAGTGCCATGTTCTTCCAAAACCTACCACTTTAGATATAGCCGTCTGCCGAGCAGGTCTGGAATTTATCTAGGGTATCTGTACCTTTAAGCGTCTCTTCTCTGGGTCACCTGTCCCTTTAAATGTCTTCCTTATTCTGGGCCTCGGGCCCCTTTAAATGCTTTCTTCTCCTCTCCTCCCTCCCCTCTCCGCCACTGACTAGAACTCAACCTACTTCTGCACCCTTGATAGCCCGAAATCTGTTATCTCATCAGGCTTCAGATCACTGACCTGGTACCATCCTGCCTACTTTGCCCCTTCGCATGGCCCTTCGCTCTTTCCTTTCCGCACGTCCTACGACAGCTTCCGTACTCAAAGTCCCGCCTTACAGCACTTCATGCTGGTTGGTTATTTTGGCTGTCGCTTACAGCTATCAGTGGTCCTATTGGTCTAGCCGGCAGTAGCTTACGCGCTTTATCTAGGCGCTGAAGGAAATGCAAAATTGTTATTGGCAACACCACATGGTCATCGCTGCCAGAAATAAAAATAGGGGTCAGCCTTTGCCCGTGGAGGGCGGGACTTAGGGTTGGGGACGCTACAGGAGCTAGATGTGTTGGACTCTAGCGTCCAAACACCGAGGAGGAGTCGCCCCCAGAGACCATCTCATACACTACAGCCGATGCAAAAGCATGAGGATTTTATTAATTCTGTCATGACAGGGTCCCTCAGCATTCGGGAAGCCGAGGGACCTCGAATAGCGGGTACAGTCTACTTTTAAAGGGGCCACAGAAGCAAGGGGGGGTTGTTCTTTGACCATTCTGATTGGCTTATTTGAAAGGGCTATTACCAATAATTGACTGGAGAGCTGTTGCCAGATCAGATGAGGTAAGAGGTCATTTTGACCCCGTTTCCCAGGGGACCGAACCAAAGCATACGTATATGGGTAATTGTTCAGGAACTGAGTACGTGCGAGTGTAGCTGTTAGGTCTTTGGTTCCCAGGGGAGGAGGGGAAGCACTATGGCACAGAGGCTGAGAGGATTCAGAATTGTCAAAAATGGCTTCAGGATTGT